GACGCTGGGTGGGACTTCCGCGACGCAGTCGCCGCTGCCCATACCCATTGGTCAGTATAACTATCACTCGCCGCCGGCCGTGAGTGCCCGCCCCCGCCCAGGAGCCGCATTTCCGGGTTGGGTCCCGGCGCGCCTGTAGAGGGAGACCGAGCGAGCCAATCCGAGGCGGCGAGGAGGAGCCGGTCTGGAGCGCCGAGCTGTCATCCGCGTTCCCTGTCAGGTAAACTGAGGCTCGGCGGCAAGCCGGCCAAGGTCACGCCTGGGGCAGCAACAAGGCTGAGTGTGAACTCACTGCCTGAACTCCTTGAATTTCTTTACTTCACAGCTCACGAGTGATCCGGGAGAGAGATTGGGCTATCCTATTATTGATTCGGAAAAACAAGTCGTCCTGTCACTGACAGCCTCGGAATCTGTTTGTGCCTAGATTTTGGTGGGTGTCTTTTTTCTCTTCGGATGTCTTTGTGAGCTTGCTTTTATTCTTTTTATTTCCTTTTCCCTCAACAGGATCTCACTATGTAGCCCAGACTGGCATCATACTTGCAGCAATCCTCTCTCCTCCTCCCAACTGCTGAAAGTACAGCTGTGAGCCACTACACCCTGCTTTAGGTGTCATTAATGACAACGCTGGTTTTTTAAATTAATTTATTTATTTTGGTTTTTCGAGACAGGGTTTCTCTGTGGCTTTGGAGGCTGTCCTGGAACTAGTTCTTGTAGACCAGGCTGGTCTCAAACTCATAGAAGTCTGCCTTCCTCTGCCTCCCGAGTCCTAGGATTTTGTGTGTGTGTGTGTGTGTGTGTGTGGTGAAATGAATACAAATTTTACAACCTTTTTTTTTTCTTTGGTTTTTCGAGACAGGGTTTCTCTGTAGCTTTTACAATCTTTAAAAAAAAAAAAGAAACCTTTTGTGCTTTGCTTATCGTGTATGTCTGCTTGTGTGTGGATGCTGGTGTCTTCAATACCATTCTCCACCTGGAGCCAGCCTAATTCCTCTAGGCTGGCTGGCCAGTGAGGTGCAGTGATCCTCCTGTCTCTGATTTCCCCGGGGGTGGAATTACAGACATGCCCACCATTTCCAGCTTTAGTGCTGAAGATCCAAACTCAGAATTTCATGTTTGCATAGCAGGCACTTTACTGAGTCATCTTGCCCACTTTTGTCCAGTGTTGGGAATTGAACTCAGGACCTCATGCTACGTAATCTCTAAAATGCCATCTAAATACACTCCTACCTCTTGCCACCTGTTTTGTGGTGGTTTTTGAGCAGGGTCTCAGGGTGTAGCCCTGGCTAACCTGGACCTCACTATGCAGACCAGGCCTGCCTTCAATTTGTGGTCTTTCTCTCTTAACTTCCCTAGTGCTTGGATCACAGGTGTGCACTACCCTCTCCAGATTATCTACCTGACCGTATTTTTAAAAAGTAATTTGAAGTCAGCTGAAATGAGTGTTCAGCCTTAAATGGGACATTCTAGAGCCAGGTGGTAGTGGTGCGCACCTTTAATCCCAGCATTCAGGAGGCAGAGGCAGAGGCAAGCAGATCTTTGAATTTGAGGCCAGCCTGGTCTACAAAGTGAATTCCAGGGCAGCCAGACTACACAGAAAAACCCTGTCTCAAACAAAAATAAATGGGGCATCTATATCATTCCCCCTTCTAAATAAAGCTTAGGGGATGTTGAGAAAGAGAGAAAGGAAAGAATGTCAGAGTGGTAAAATGGGGGGGAATGCTGAGAAATGTTGTTTCCTGAGCAAGTATGGCTATGGCACTGATGAAGTCGCAGCCACTGTGGTTACATGCACAAGATCAAGCCAGTCACAACGCCAACATGGACAGGAGACGGCCTCACAAGGCCACACCTATCTGAGTAGTAAGTCATTGGCAACTGATGGCTGCTGGGGAAAAGTCTTTTTTCTTTGAGGGTGTGACCATTGGAAGGTTGTCCTTGCTCTAGTGGATGACCCCATACACATTCACACATAGACGGCACTAACCAAACTCAGTAGGTTAAAAACTATACTACTACCTGCCCCCCACCCAAAAAAAAATGGTTTAAAGTCAAATGAAGTCGAGTGTACATATAGAGCCTTCTAACCTGGTAGAAGAATCAATTGAGTCCAGGAGTTCAAAGCCAACCTGAGTAATATAGCAAGATTTTGTCTCAAAAAAATTAGATGATATAGAACAGCCAACATTCTTGGCATAAATTCATCACCCCATGTAGGTAGAATGGATTACTAAACAAGCAGTAATGACTATTAACAGCTACTTCATATTGACTCTAAGTGAGGAATTTTCATCCTAGATATCATTCTAAAGCATTCCTAATATTGTTGCCCCCATTTTCAGATGAGGAAGCTGAGGCACAGGAGTGACAATTCTACATTTTGAAGTGCCAGAATGGGGACCTAGGCATCTACATCTGGGACCTGTATGCCATCCTCTAAAGATATAGCCTAGAGCTACCGCTTCTCCCAGTCTGTCATACATTTATAGGCCTTAAAAACTACAAACCGGCCGGGCGGTGGTGGCGCATGCCTTTAATCCCAGCACTTGGGAGGCAGAGGCAGGTGGATCTCTGTGGGTTTGAGGCCAGCCTGGTCTACATAGCAACTTCCAGGACAGTCAAGGCTGTTACACAGAGAAACCTGTCTCAAAAAAACAAAACAAAAAAACAGGCAGAAAGATGGCTCAGTGGATAAAGTACTTGCTGTAAAGGCATGAACACCTGAGTTTGGATCCTCAGAGTTCATGTAAAGCCAGCCACAATTAAACTCATCTGTAAGCTCAGTATTCCTGTGACAACAGAATCCTTGGAAGCATGTGGGCCGGTTATCCCAGACACTGAACAGACCTGATATGACTAAACAGGTAAAATAACTTGCTGTGCAACCCTAACGACCTGAGTTTAACCTAACCTAAGTCAAGATAGGTGATAACTGACTCCATACATGTGTGCCCCTCATGTGTGCTTGGTGCCCACTGAGGTCAGAAGAAACCTATCAAATCCCCTGGAAATGAAGATGGTTGTGATCAACATGTGGTTACTCAGAACAAGAGCAACAAGTGCTCTTAACCTCTGCCATTTTTTCCAGGCCTATCATAAGTTTCTATGAATCCCAGGCCAGCCAAGGTTATATAGAAAAACCCTGTCTCAAAACTAAAAACTGAAAATAAAGAAGAAACTTTGTGTCAAACATGGTGGAAATAAGGACCAACACCTGAGGCTGTCCCATGAATATGTGCCTACATCTACACACACACACACACACACACACACACACACACGGACACGGACACGGACACGGACACGGACACGGACACGGACACGGACACGGACACGGACACGGACACGGACACGGACACGGACACGGACACACACGGAGGGGGGTTGATTGATTTAAAGCAACAGGTGACTATAACCCCTAGTGCCCAGAAGTCTTATTCTATCCATGCTGGTTTGACCCAGCCTTCCTTTTGCACTCAACACTGTATCACCCTGTTTCCTGTATGGCTCCCCTGGTTGCCATCTGCCTTATCTGCAGAGGTCTCCATTGAAGGAACATTACATTTATACATGGGGTGTTTATAGATCCATATATTGATAAATCTCTACTAACATACCAAACATTAAAATAGTTCCCAGTTTTGTTTTGTTCTCATAAACCAGGTCCTACACCCAAATCCAGACACACCTTACATGCTTTCTTGTATAAATCTGTAGCCTATGAATTTAGTGGGTCAAAGTGCAGTTCGTTGCTGCTAAATCGCCTGCCATGTCCACAAAGGACATTCCAGGTTATACTCTCATCCTAAGAATACACAAAGACAAGCTGGGGGTACAGAGCTCTTGCCAGCAAACACTTTTGAAGACTATCCTGCATTGTTTACCCTACCACACAGTCAGAGCAGAGTTCCAGCTTTCAAAGCTTGATGGCCCCATGAGCAGCAGGTACTATGATCCTGCCCACTACCCACATGAGGAAACTGGGGGTGGGGGCATGGGGCAAGCTGCAGTGATCACTCTTTTACAGAGTTAAGTCACAGAATGCAGGTTTCAAAACCAGACCCATCCAATTCTGTTGCCCAACTCAGCCAACTCAACTGCCTCCCAATCCCTTCAATTTTGTTTTGAGAGAATACTGACCATTTTATATCATTAATCTTTCTTAGTTCTCCCTACAGCCTCGTGAGATGGATGGCTAATATCCACTACCATTTTACCCATGAAACAATTCACCAGACTCTACAGTAACCACTGAATATTGATATATATATATACATAGCTATAGATGTGTGTGTGTGTGTGAGAGAGAGAGATCATACTCCATTTCTCAGAAAGTTACTGTAAGAATGTGTTCCACCAAAAGCAAATAAAGGGACAAGCCAAGAAAGAATATATGAGAGGCATAAAAGAGACGAAGAATACACAGGAATAGAGTGTAGTGAGGTCCCAGGTCCTATTTATCCTTTCAACAATCATTGAGCCTCCCATGTGCCAAGCACTGTGCTTGGTAATTCACCAGTAAACAAAACACAAGGTTTTCCCATGGATTTCTAGAACTAACACAGGAGTGGAGGAAGAGAGCAAGCCCAATAAGCAAGTTTTATTGCATATTAGAAGGTAATACGTGACCGGGCAGTGGTGGTGTATGCGTTTAATCCCAGCACTTGGGAGGTAGAAGCAGACAGATCTCTGTGAGTTCAAGGCCAGCCTGGTCTACAAAGAGAGAGTTCCAGGACAGCCAGGACTGTTACACAGAGAAAAACCCTATCTCAAAAAAACAAAACAAAAAGGGTAATAAGTCTTGTGAGGAAAAAAGAAAATCAGGTCAATGGAGTTGCAGACATGCATAAGGAGGAAGTAACAGTTTAAATGAAGAAAAGCCAAGGTGAGCTGTGTGCAGCAAGCATCCAGACCATAGTAAGCAGACTTCCCGAATACTCCAGAAAAATACTTGGACTGGTAGGTTCTCAACACATAGAAAGTTGAGTTGAGAAGCTAACATAGAGGTGAAAAAACTCCAGGGAGAAAACCCAACAACCAAAGACTCTCCTAGAAAGACATCACAGACACAGTTTGAACCTCTTTTTGGTGCCTTTTCTGCTGTGTGTGATATTTACAGACATGATCAGGTACTGACTCAACACTGAATCATCAGACTCTCTTGACATGAGGCTGGAGCTGTGGCAGGGTATTCAGCACAAAAGCAATATATAACCACAAATGATGACTCAGAATATAAAGACACTATTAAGAAAGATGGACATAAAAAGCAGGAAGACAGGGAGGTTACTGATTTTATCACAGCCTTTTTAGAACTATTTGATTTTTTTTTAATTTTAAAATTTATGGGTATGGGTAATTTGCCTGCATGTATGTCTGAGCACTATTTGTGTTGAGTGGCTAGGAAGGTCAGAAGAGAGTATCAGATCCCCTGGAACTAGAGTTAAAGATGGTTTAAGTTGTCATGTGGCTGCTGGGAATTGTCCTGAAGAAGAGCAGACAATGCTTTAAATTGCTGAGCCATCTCTCCAGATCCACTATTTGGTCTTTTATCTATTGACACAAATCAAAATTGATAAAATGGAGCTGGGCATGGTGACTAACTTCTGTAATCCCAGTACTCAAGAGGCTGAGGCAGGAGGATCACCAACCATGCTTCAGAACCTCTCGCTCATGAATGTAAAGCTGGACAAGGATATTTGTGACCCCACAACTCACACTACTGTTTTGTGTTGCTGAAGATTATGGCCACAGCCTCCCTCCTTCCAAGCAAATGATCGACCGTTGAGCAACATCTTTAGTCCTGACTGCACAAATGAGAGAAAAGGGCCATGATTTAAAGAGCAAGGGGTGAGGTACATGGAATGTTTAGGGGGAGGAGAGGAAGAGGAAAATTATGTGCCTATATTATCATCTTTAAAAAATATATTTAAAGCCAGGTGGTGATGAAAGTGGCACACACTTTTAATCCCAGAATTTTGGAGCATCTACCTTTGGAAGGCAAAGTTCAAGGCTAGCCTGGTCTTCATTAGTTCCAGGATAGCCAGGGCTATATAGGGAAATACTGTCTTGAAAAAAAGAAAGGAAGGAAGGAAAGACAGACATATCAAAAAATACTTTAAAAAAAAAGCAGCAGCTGGGCAGTGGTGGTGCACACCTTTAATCCTGGCACTCGAGAGGCAGAGGCAGGCGTATCTCTGTGAGTTCAAGACCAGCCTGGTCTATAAGAGCTAGTTCCAGGACAGCCTCCAAAGCCACAGAGAAACCCTGTCTTGAAGGGGAAAAAGCAGTTTCTTATTTGTTACAAGGGATTAGGTTTTTTTATTTGGTTGGTTGGTTGGTTTGTTCAAGACAGGGTTTCTCTGTATTGCTATGGAACCTGTCCTGGAACTCAATCTGTAGACCAGGCTGGCCTTAAACTCACAGAGATCTGCCTGCCTCTGCCTCCTGAGTGCTGGGATTAAAGGCGGTGCCACCAATGCCTGGCTAAGGGATTGAAAAATAAACAATGATACTCTGGTTTCTCTTCAGATTGTATAAATCTTTCGCCTTTTACTCTGTAAAATAAACAATGAGAGGGACTGGAGAGATGGTTCAGCAGTTAAGAACATTCTTCTGGAGGACCCAGGTTCAATTCCCAGAACCCAATTGGCAACTCACAACTGTCTGTAACTCCAATTCCAAAAGATCTGACACCCTCACACAGACATATGCAAGCAAAACACCAACCAATGTTCATAAAAATAAATTTTAAAAAATTAATGATGAGGGCTGGGGATGTAGTTCAAAGGTCGAGTGCTTGCCTACTATGTATGAGGCTCTGTTTAATCCCCAGTACCACAAAAATAAAAATGAGATAAAACAGGGAGGAGGCAATGGCTCGGTGGATACAGCCCTTGTCACACAGCATGAGGACTGGAATTTGGATCTTGTAAACCCACTTAATAGTGAGGCAAGTACTTAACACTCAAGAGGTTGAGACTGGAGATTCTTGAGACAAGCAGCTAGCTAGCCTAGCCTATCATTTGAGAGATCCTGCGTCAACAAAAGTGGAGAGCCACCAAGAAAGATGCCCAATATCAACTTCAGGCCTCCATATGCATACACATACTAACAACCTTCTGTTGACCCTGGAGATCAGTATGCACTTGCTACAAGGAACAGAGAAAAGTTCTAACAAAAAAAGTAAAGTTAAAGAAGCAAACCAAACCATGTGTAGTGGTGCAGGCTTTTAACCCCAGCACTCAGGAAGCAGAGGCAAGTAGATCTCTGTTGAGTTCAGGACTGGCTGGTCTATGAAGTGAGTTCCAGATCAGTCAGGGTCACACAGTGAAACCCTGTTTGAAAAAGTCAACATTTTTTTCAAAATAATAGAAAAGAAGCAAGTTAAAGAATAAAAAATTAGCCAGGCAGTGGTGGTGCACACTTTTAATCCCAGCACTCAGGAGACAGAGACAGGCAGATCTTTGAGTCTGAGGCCAGCCTGGTCTACAGAATGAGTTCCAGGACAGTTAGGGCTGTTACACAGAGAAACCTTGCCTTGAAAAAAAATTTTTTTAATTTGGGGCAGTGGTGGCGAAAGCCTTTAATCCCAGCACTTAGGAGGCAGAGGCAGAGGCAGGCGTATCTCTGTGAGTTCAAGACCAGCCTGGTCTACAAGAGCTAGTTCCAGGACAGCCTCCAAAGCCACAGAGATACCCTGCCTTGAAACCCCCCCCCAAAAAAACTACCACACACAGGCTTCGGCATATACACCATATACATACATACATGTAAAATATGTTTAAAGATCCATTGAAATTTAGGTGTGCTTCTGGGAGATACAGGGCAGTGGCAGAGTGATTAAAGTGCATGATGTCCAAGGTTCATTCTCTGGTAGAGTCAAAAATGAAATCTGGTGGCACACTCCTTTAATTTTAGCATTCTGATGGCTAAGGTAGGAGGACCTCAAGTTCAAGGCCAGCTTTGGTCATAGAATGAAAACCTGTCACAAGTGAGGGAAATACAGTAGATTTTTTTTCCTGCTATAAGCATGTGATGAGCCAACAGATGGCTGAGCTGGTATAAAGGTACCTGCTGCCCATCATGAAGGCCTGAGTTATGTGATGCCCTGTGTGATGACCACACACAGAAGAGAACAAACTGCTACAGGTTCTATAACCTCCACACTTATACCATGGCACACAAGGACACACACACACACACACACACACACACACACACACACACACACACACACACACTACTTTTTAGGTAAGGACTTAATATCTAGCCTTGGTTAGTCT